CACTTGATTGATATCAATAAGATAATTAAGTAAGATTGTCATAACTGATGGAACAACACTAAAAAAGGTGATCGCCTTTTGTTTTACGATTCTGGAAAGATAATCATAATCCATCGTTTTTTCGGGATGTAATTGAATAACTGAGCCGCCATTCATTAGAGTACCTAGACATTCTTTCACATGAACGTCAAACGTGCATTGTGCCATTTGAATGACATTTTCATATTTGGTTATTATTCCAAGAGATTCAAATGAAAACATACAGGTCGATAAATTATGATGCGTTATTTGCACCTTTTGAAATAAAAAAAGATTCAAATAAAATATGAAGATAACTGGGGCAAAGACAAATTACCGCTTTTGGCGTTCCTGTTGATCCACTAGTAAAAATAACAAAAGCGATGGTGTCACTTTTGCTTTCGATCGATGACAGTTGATCAAGGTGATTTTCATTAACTATCTCTTGTTTGCCTATCATTCCACTTGTATTGAGTAAAGTAATATTGTTTCCTTCAAATTTATTTTCTGTTGTTGAATCAACTAGAACACAATCACTTTGAGTTTGTTGAAGTAGGTGTTGAAGTCGATTTCGAGGATCACGAGGTGACAATGGACAATATGATCCTCCAATCATGATGATAGATAACATACCAACAAACTGTAACATAGCACTTAAACAAATGCAAACAATTGATAGTTCTCAACAACTTACCATTGATATACTTCTCTCTACACATTGACATACAACATCACCTGGATTGACATGATATTCATTGAGAAGACGAATAGACAACAATTGAACATAATATAACAATTCACAGTAGGTCAAACATTGATCATCAAGTTCCACAGATAATTTCTGCGGATGTGCCATCACTCGACAAACAAATTCATGATGAATACAAGTTGAACAAGAATAGGATGTTTGTGTATTATTCATCGATTGAATAAGTAATCGTTCGTCTTCTAACCTCAATGATAACTCGTCAATTGATCGATCCATTCGATGTGAAGTTTGTTTGAGAGAAAACAATTGGCATAACATTGTGTGAAATCGTTGTGTCAATGTTATGATTGTTTCCGAATGAAATAAATCAACTGATGCATGAATTTCACATGAGAGCTGATTTCGATCGAGATCATGTCGAATACTTAGAAGAAAATCCAATTGGTTGATCATGTCGTTCTCGTTCATTTGTATTGAATCAGGCAAAGAAGATAGTTGACTATTACCAATGAGAATTATATTATTCTCAGTATCATTGTTCATCAATGAAAGATACTGGAATGAAATATCAAGAAAAGCAGCATGTGAAACAGTTGGATGTTGATTAAGAATGTATTGAAGAGGGAAATAAGAATATTTCATACTGTTGATCATCATTTCGCTGACTGATGAAGATAATTGTGAGAAAGATGTATTTGAATGAAATTGACAACGAAGTGGAATTGTATTAACAAACATTCCAATGATTGATTTCAATTCATGTTTATATCTACCATCAATGTTCATTCCGATACATAAGTCAGTTTGTCCATTCGTTATTTTGTGTAGAAACAGAAAATAACACGCAAGTCCAAGCTGTTCAAGCGAAAGACTATTTGATGATGTAAAGAGGTAGAAAGCTTGTGAAAGATCTTGATTAAAATCAAATGAAATCGATATTCTATTATGTGATCGATGTACATTTGTAAGACGATGTCGATCATATGGTAATGGCAAACGTTGATCAAGATCACAATTATGGAGTGCATCAAACCAAAACATCTTTGCACCAATCATTGCCATTTCGTGTTCGATCATCGCATCTAAATACAAAAGAGGAATCAATATCATCTGGACGAAAAGAAAAAATAAGACAAATTTTCTGTACAATCAAGATAACGAAGAGAGGTCGCGTGCTGTTCATCGTTGAATAGTTGCACATTCGTGTATAGTTGATTTAAATCACGAAGAAAGATTTTCATAGATGGAAAATCAAATATAACATGATGAAAATTGAAGATAAGGAGATCTTGATGAGAAAGAATATCATCCAAAGATCTTCGTTTATGATAAATAATATGACATCGGAAGACAACACCTTGGTTAGGATTGAACAGGTCACGATTATATTTTTCATTCTTGAGAATATGATTGAGCTGATTTTCTGTTTCATAAGTGCTTTCGATAATGGAAAAGGCATTTTCATGAAGATTTTCCTCAGTTGTAATTTGCTGCATCAGGAGATTTTGATGGGAATCAAAAATGAAGGATGTACGAAGCGATTGATGTTTGAGAACAAGAAAAGAAAGTGCACGACGTAGTTGTCTAATTGATAGTGTTTGATTGTAAATGGGACGATAAATGAATGGCATGTTAAAAATTGGAATTTGTGCTTCTTCTGATTTGTTTTCAGCGAGCCAAACACGAGTTTGTGCAAATGATGCTGGTGCTACAAGAAAACATATCTTAGATAACGTACGTAATCTAGTTGCAAAAACCTAGAATGCGAGGACTAATCGAACTGATCAATAGTATTCACTTACTAGATGTGCTCACTAGGATCGGTTTTCAGTCGAAATGTGCTGAATCTCATTACTTAACTTTAATGCTACCACTCGGAATCATTCTTAATCAAACTAGTGGTAAGTTCAACTAACAGAATCAATGTTATTCTTAATTTATTTTTATGAGTAGTGAAGGGCGAAATGCATCGTGTAACCTAGTCTTGGATGTGTGTGGACCATGATGTAAAGGAATATCGAGCAGTAACAATGAGCGAGACTTCTAGATAGAGATGAATAGTGCTTTTCGCACTGAAGTCACAATTTTCCAAATGGAATAACTGGCCACAGCGTCTTTTAAACGGATTTGTGGCCATGAATATTATGAAAAGGACGGTAATAACGCTAGATATAATCGTTTCTCAAAAGAACAAGATAAATTTTCTCTTGAACTAGGTAGTTTTTTCTAAATAAACACCTATAACACCCAGAAAGTAGCTATGAACTGTACTTTGATAGACGAATAGGGAAAAAGATAAATATTTGCTAGTTCAAATTCAATATACTTTATGGATCGATTAGCCCAAAGATAATGTGTACCTGAACTTGAATGTAAGTGCGGCAGAAGAACCGAAAAATCTTCGCTTAATTCAATCTTTTTGAGAAGACATAAAGCAACACTGTTAACTTCATCTTTGAGCAACGAAAGAGAGAAGACACGAGAAAAAATGACCTCCGTGGAACTCGAACACACGCCTTCTGTTATCCGAGTAGATGTCCTGAACCAGTTAGACTAGAAGGACCATCTTAATCTTTTGTCTAGCGTTGTGTGATTCATCACAAACGCTAACAAACACGCATCCTCAACTTCATCGTGATGGTATGAAAGGAAAGTGAGAAAAGTTAAACTACATATTTTTATTGTGGTTCGATATGTCTCTCTCATGAATAATTTTCACGCTCTCTATCACATACACTTTTTAATTGTGTGTTACAGGCTACTATGCGTAAGATCTTTGTATTTTCGTCCTTTGTGACGATATCACGGTACATATCGTCCATATTATGAAGGCTATCATTAGTTTGGAACCAAAAATTAGTGTACATTGCCTAGAACGACAACGTGCTCACTAAACAGACGCTCATTTCCAGTAAAAGTCGGTCGAGCGAAGTTAGGGCTGTCTGGGTTAAGTAGGTACTCACATATGAGCCACCGCACGAGAGGCTTGACCGAACGTTGTAGAAGATTGTTTAATCACGGTACTTATGGTTTATGCGATAAACATAACCACCTAAATCTCTGAGATATCATGATGATGCTCCTCACAGTTACACACAGCTTGATGAGTTATATCCATGGCGACCTACACTGATCCACTTTATAAACAACTCCAAGGAAATAAGTCACTTATAAACACTTCATGAAACACAATCACTCACATATTTCCAAAATCTGCATTTTTCCAAGCACGAATAGTGCGCTTCCATAGAGTAGTGACGATGTGAATGAGCGTCTGAGTCGATGTGTAATGGGTTTGACTTTACTTTGCCAAAGTGGAGAAAAGTGTGCATACTCGTTTCAACGGTATCTGTACAGACTCAGAAGCTTAAATTAGTAAAAGAGAATAGATCCTGTGTCGAACAGAGCCGTTTTCACAAAACTCTTAGCTTTGTGGTACTATCTTCACGCCAATATATAAAATCTCATTTTTTTAGCTTTGTTATATGTTCTTTAGTGGAGATGCTCACGTTCTACAAGCGAGCTTTTCACCAAAGTGGTCTGTAGAAACCAGACGGCCAATTTTTTGGTTCTATGCAAATTCGTAGCCTATTTATCTCTAGCTTAGTTCGCTGAGAGATGAAGGAATGCGGTTCACTTCGAATCGTGGATTTATTTTGAATACTTATCTGCTTTCAGTAACAATTAGAACAGTTGACACGGGTCGTTATGCAAACTTCCCTTCTGTGACAATCTCTCTAACATGCGCTGTACGCATGATACGATTTTTCTCATCTAATGGGTTATCCTTATTATGCTTTTATTCTGTACGCTCTGATGTATTTTGATATGTTACTTTCTTGCGCCTTCCTCTATCTATACGAGTATATGAACGCGTGTCTTGTATCAGAACGATTTGATTTACGAGGACGAAATAAATATAGGCGTAATTTCATCAGCACATACATCTCTTCCATCAAAAACCGCCACCCTATTCGGCACTGTTTTGCTGAACATTCTAAAATTCTTTTGTCACTTTTAGATAGTAATTGATAAAAGATCTTTGCAGAAAAGATCTTTTCAAAATGTGAGAGTGAGGATATAGTGACGGCGACTCCTGTTGATGGACTGCTTTCAGGTCACCTCAATGAAACTGGATCAAAATTGTTTTTCCAGATTGTTCGTCGATAACTATCACAAGAATATGGCAAAAGTTTGGAATCTCCCATTGAGCAAGGTTAGTTGCCGCTCTCGTGCAATGACTCATATAGGATTTTTACTGTAACTATGTGAAATGATGTGACGCCGTTATAAGATATTCTTATAATAAGAAAGTTCCCAGAAAACAAAGAAGCAAACCTTCATTTTTTATGCCTTTTTGCTGGCAAAAATTGATTAGTTGTGGTTCTTCATCTTCGTCCGGTGAGGAAGGATCAAATTTGAATATAGGCCTGAGATCCATATTAATTGAATCAGGGGTGAATTCTGACGAAAACAGTTGTTGACAAAAGTGTTGAAATCTTCGCGTTATAACTTTAACTGTTGCTTCGTCAAATAAATCTCTTGAACATGTTATAAAACCGGACAATTGATTATCAACTAGGAGGGCATTATACTGGAACGTCATTCCGAAATCAAATGGAAAAATTTCATACAACTCTGATGACCCTGGTTCTAATTTAACGTTCCTTATTGATAAATCATTGGTATAATGCGATTCAGTGATAAAGTCGAATACTGTTTGAAATAACGAGAGATTCGACTGATTGAAATTTATATCAGCCAGAATACGTTGAAGCGGATAATGTGAATGTTGAATAATTGCAAAGCATTTTTCTCGAACTTGTTCAACAAGTTTTCCAAATGAATCATACGGATTTATTGTCACACGATACGGAAGCGTAGCAACAAACATACCAATCAAGTTTTGTAGTTCTGTTCTGTACCGATTGGCACTTATACAGCCGACACATAGATCAGTATTGTTATTGGTTAATTTAAGCAGAAATGCATAGAATATAGTTAAACCAAGTTGAAATGGTGTAACGTCGTGAGAAGATGCGTAAGAAAGAAACGAATCTGATGACTTGTTATCAAATGAAAATTTATTATTAATACTCAAGCCTGATCGTTGGTTATTAGTAAACTGTTGTCGATCAATCAAAAACGGTAGTTGACATTTTATTTGATAGCCATCGAGATATGAGCGCCAAAATTGACTTGCTGAGGTCATATCCATTTCACGCTCATAAGTAGAGAAGTCAATATATTGAAATATATCTTCTCGTTTAAGAAGAGGCTCATCGGATTCATACGCCGTTATTAAATCAGCGAAAAAAATTTGACGTGAAGCTCGGTCGTATGCTGCATGATGCACAGCGAACACGATTACATCCTGAACACCAATGAGATCTTCTCTATCGATACGTTCACCAGGTGGATTTTTACGAATAATTTCACAATAGAAAGCACATCCGTTTGACAAATCGAATATATTTACATTACTTTTTGTTTGACTAATCATCAAACCAAGTTCAGCTTCGTTCGTATATGTGTTTCCAATATTCACTGTAAATGCTAAATGATTCTGTGTAACGCACTGTACTAATCTGCCGAGATTAGTATCTAGAATAAGAGAAGTGCGAAGTATTCGATGTTTCTCTAATACCGACCGAATAGCTCGTTCTAAACGATCCCTTGACAATGTACCATCTATTAGTTTTAACACGACAAGTTCGTTATATACGGATACATTATCCATAAATCGTATCTGTTGATCAAGGTAAATACGTTCTTGCGCAAAAGACGCGATTCCTTAAAATTCAATAAACGTAAAAAATTCAATACAGATATTTTTGCGTTACTCTTACCTTCTATTAAATGCAATGGATACCAAGTTTCCTCTTTGCACTCATTATTATCAATTGCCTGTATTAATTTCGCATGATCAGCAATAGTTGTTTCTACAAGAAATGAGCTAATTGGAATCATTTCATTATTGAACAGAAATTTTGATTGGTAACGATGATAGAGTTCAATGAACAAAAGTGAATGGCCGCCAACAGAGAAAAAATTTGCTCTAGTTGATATTTGTTTTCCGTTATATCGAAAAATTTCACACCAAATATCATGAATATGTTGTTCTAGTGCATTTTGTGGACTGTTAGATTGCGTTGATGATGCTGATTCGATGGTTAGGGCTGAATTTGGCGACGGAAGCTGTTTTCGATCTAGTTTACCATTTGCATTCTGCGGAAACTGTTTCAACGGAATAAACATCGATGGTACCATGAATAATGGTAACTGAGAACGACAGCAATCACGAAAATATGCAGTGTCATTATAATCGCTTTGAACATATGCAACTAAGTGATCTTCGCCCCATTTCATCACAACACACGCTGAAATAGATGTAATATTAAGCAGACATCGTTCGATCTCGCCAAGTTCAATGCGTTGTCCATGTAATT